AAGAGGCGGGTACCACAGAAAGTAGAGGTAGATGTGCCGGGTGATCGATGCTGAGCAGAAGAAGACAAACTTAAAGTCACTGTGTGCATTTTTAGAGGTCCAGTAGTTGTAGGGTAGGTCTAGGCGGGTACACCAGTTCAAGCAGTCTCGAGTCAGTCTAGGGCATGTACGGGGAATATCAGTCTGCAATGACGTTTCCCTCCGAAAGGGAGGAGGTACCGGTTGCTTGGAGGCCGCGCGGCCTGGAAGTCACCGCCAACGAGGCAAGCAGGCTGCTATATCTTCTGGAGGAGCAAGGAGCTCCTCCTCATTGTTCGGTGTGCAAGTTTGGCGACACACTGCTTGGAGCGCTGGTGGGGTAGGAGCGCCCAGCTCCCCACCGCGGCTTTGATGGAGAAGGAAGACGAGGACTAGGAAGGGGGAGCGTCAGATGTACTTACCTGGCTATGAGGGATGCCATCTTCATCACCTTGATGGGCGCTGCATCTGCAAGGCCCCAGTTGGGGTAGAGGTACACCGTGAAGCTTCGAGGCAGAGTCAGGCATGGTGGCCTGAGCTACAGCAGCCATAGCCGCCTTGAGTTGTCTTTTGCACATCAGGGCAAGGCCCTAGCAGTCCGCCATAGCCTCGGCCTTCAGGAAGAGGAAGGGGAAGGGTGGTCATGGCTATGGTGGGCCTCGCTGAGTACAAGGGGGACTCGGACATTGATTCTGGTTCAGCCATTCAACATTATTATTATAATAATTATCTATTGTGAATAAAGAGCGGCGGAGAAAAGGAGGAGGAGAGTGGTTGGTGAAGAAGAAGGGAATGATCATTGGTCTTTGCTGGTATACATCTTCTTCTTCTTCTTCTTCTTCTTCTTCTTCTTCTTCTTCTTCTTATTCTTCCCCTCTCTCTCCTCTCAAGTTCATTCTTTTTTTTTTGCAATTAGACGGCATTGTACTTTCTCATGAGTTTGTGCTTCGAACCTGGCCAGGATCATAACATTGGTATCGAGTGGATGCTACTTGATGGTGAGAGTTCAGTTAGTTACCAGAACCCTAACCTAAGTGGTTAGGGCTGACCACTAAGGGTTAGGGTAGGTCCGAAGTGGGAAGTGGGGCAGCGTGGATTAAGGAAGCTGTCCTACCTGGTTAGGTCGTGCTGGGTCGACTCTAGACCTGACCAGGTTGATGGAGAGTAAGCTTGTAATGGGGAGACACATCAAGAGGACTGTGCGACACTTTGACAGAGGTGACAGTGAGAGGCACCTAAGGGAGACACTTGGCGACCTCCCTCAAGCTACGAATCCCCACCGGCCAAGATTGCCGCAGTCACGACCTTGGCCTGCAGTCATGGCCGCGGCCGCGGCCATGGAAAGTTTTGTGGCTGCGTCACGGCCAGAGGGGGGGTTTGGGGGTGGGGATTGGGGTTCCAGAACCCCGACCCTTCCCCCTAGAGAAACAAAAGAAAAAATAACTGATTTTCGGGGGGGGCGGAGGAGGGGGGTTGGTATGTGAAACGCAATTTAGAAGAAAAATTAAAAAAAAACAAGTAAAGGGCGAACGTACGTAATTGAAGAAGTGAATTCTCGATCAGAATGAGAATGAACACAGAAATGTATGAAGTTTTCACACTGCGGCACTCTCTCTCTCTCTCTCTTTCTCTCTCTCTCTCTCTCTCTCTCTC